GGACCTAGAGGGTATTATGCTAAGTGAAATAAGTCAGAAAAAGACAAATAATATATTATTTCAGTTATGTATGGAATGTAAAAAACAAAACAATCAACAGCATTAACAAAAGAGGCAAACTTATAAATACAGAGAACAAACTAGTGCTTGCCAAAAGGAAAGAGTGTGGGGTGACGGACAAAATAGGTGAGAGAGATCAAGAGGCACAAACTTCCAGCTCTAAAACAAGTTATAAAGATGAAAAGTACATTATAAAGAATAGTCAATAATATTGTAATAACTTTGGTGGCAGACCGTACACTTAAGATGAGCACTTTGTAATGTATGTAATAGTCAAATCATTATGTTGTACACCTGAAACTAAAATTAATGTCAATTATACTTCAGTTAAAAAAAGAGGGAGATGGGAACACCAGAGAACTTGCACTCCCTGTCTTTCCATCATGTGAGGACACAAGAAAGCCATCTGCAAACCCAGAACAATCCTATCAGGAACCAAAGCAGCAAGCACCTTAATCTGAACTTCCCTCCCAGCTTCCAGAACTGTGAACAATGAATTTGTTCTTTAAACCACCTAGTCTATGGTATTTTGTTACAGCTGACCAAGAAAATTCCTGCTTATCATGAGTGGTATTCCATTATATAGAGATTTGTTTATTCAACTGTTTTTGATGGACTTTCGGTTTTTTCCCCTTTTACCATTAAAAGTAAAGTTGCTTTAAATATTTGTCCACAGGTCTTTGCATAAACATATGCTTTTATTTCCTTTGGATAAATACCTAGGGATGGGATGACTGGGTTGTCTGAAAGCTGTATATTTAATCTTATATATTTTTTTTAAAAATGTTTATTTAGCGGTGGCTCAGTTGGTTAAGTGTCCAATTCTTGATTTTGGCTCAGGTCATGATCTCATGGTTCATGAGTTCAAGCCCCACTTCGGGCTCTGCACTGACTACAAAGAGCCTGCTTGGCATTCTTTCTCTCCCTCCCTCCCTCTGTCCACACCCCACTCATGTTATCTATCTCAAAATACATAGACTTTTTAAAAAATATTTATTTATTGGGAAACCTGAGTGGCTCAGTTGGTTAAGCATCCAATCTGATTTCGGCTCAGGTCATGATCTCACAGTTCATGAGATCAAGCTCCACATCAGGTTCTGCACTAATGGTGTGAAGCCTGCTTGGGATTCTTTCCCTCTGCCCCTCCCCTGCTTGCTCATGCATGCACTCTCTCAAAAATAAATAAATAAACTTATTAATAAATATTTATTTTGAAAGTGTCTGCACCAGTGGAGGAGGGACTGGGGGGAGAGAAAGACAGGGAGGAGAGAGAGATAGACAGAGATAGAGAGAATCCTAAGCAGGCTCCATGTTCAGCACAGAGCTCAATCCATCTCACAACCCAAGATTAAGAGTCACTTAATTGGCTGAGCCACCCCAGGCACCTCTGTATGTTTAATTTTAAAGACACTACCAAATTGCTTTCCAAAGTGCTTATATAATTTCCATTCCTACCATCAGTAGATCAGAGTTCCATTTGGTCCACATACTTGACAAAAGTTGGTGTGGCCAGAGTTTTTAATGTTATCAATTCTAAAAGTGTACAGTGGCTAAGCCATTATGGGTTTAATTTTTCATTTTCCTAATGACTCTTCCTAGCATCTTTTTATGTAATTTTGGCCAAACTTTTTTTGGAAATATCTGTTCAAATCTATTGCTTGTTTTTAAAAACTGTTTCTATTTAGTTATAAATGTTCTTTACATATTTTAGATACTTGTTCTTTCTTAAATAAGTTTTGCAAATAAAGTCCCTCTCTTCTTCTTCTGGGCCTGCCATAATGCATATTTGGGTCAGCCTGTTGGTATCCTACAAGCCCCTTAAGCTCTCTTTATTTTTCTTCTTCTTTTTTTTTTGCTCCTCTGACTTGACAATTTCAAATGACCTGTCTTCAAATTTTTAGATTCTTTACCTGATCAAGTCTGCTACTGAACCTCTCTAGTAAATTTTTCAGCTTAATTGTTGTTTAGCTTTAAAATTTCTGGTTGGTTTTGTTTTACAGTTCCTATCTCTTTATTGATATTCTCACACTGTCCGTGAATTGTTTTCTGATATTGTTGTCTGTGTTCTCTTAACACATTGAGCATCTTTAGCATAGGTGTTTTATATTTTTGTCAAGTAATTCAGAGGCCTACATTTCTATATGGCAAATTTCCAGACATTTATTTTCTTCCTTTGGTTGGACCATATTTCCTTATTTCTTAGTATGTTCTGTGATCTTCTGTTGAGATTATGGCACTTGAAAAAAACAACCCCAACTTTTCCAGACCTGGTCCTGTGCAGAGGAAGACCTTTACTAATCTCCTCAGCTTAGAGGTTCTGGGATCACTCAAATCTTTTCTGGGAATGCATATTCCCTGTGTTTGCACATGTGTGTGTATTAATTACAGCATATGTGATTGCCTTTAAATACCTTAAATTTCCTAGAGAGGCTCTCCCTTGTTGCTGCTTAGAAGTCAGCCACTTCCTGCACCACAGGAAGGCATAGGCATCTCCCTGGCCTCTGCATATTATTTGCTGCATGGTATGCAGAGAGTTTTTTTGTAAATGTAATCAAAACTCAATTGATCCTCTGATGATCCTAACTGCCAGAAGCAGCTCTGAAGCCTGGTATGTAGTCCTTCCCGCTTAACTTGATTTCTTGCTACAACCTCCATAACCCAGACTGACCTGCAGATTACAGATAACCATGGCCTTAATCCATTTCTGTGCTGCACTTGCTGTGCCCTCTACAGTCAGAACTTTCCGATTTTGACTTAACCCCTCATTCAAAGCCCAGCCCCACTGGTCACCTACCTGAGTCTCAGTGTTTCTTCAAGATTTGCCCCTAACTTTCTCCTCCAGACTGAATGAAATATCCCAGACCCCACCAAAGTTGACACAATATCTATGAAGTCCCCTGAAGTGGAATAAACACTAGCTCCAAGGACAGTATTAATGTGCCGACTCCTATGCTTCTGTGTCCATCTCATGTCCACCCTTCTCCTGGTACCCTTCATCAACTATGAGTCTACGCTGTCCTCAACATTCTCCCTTCATCTCACGTATTTCTCCTAACTTGAGTATGTGAAACTCAATGCCATCAACTAGATACCCAAGCAAGAGGCCCAGTCCTCAGCTACTTCCCTTTCCTAGTCTGAAAATGGTTTTACCATCACAACCTAGAGATTGCTTTTTGCAATCACAGCTCACTTACCTGGACATATACAGTACCCACAAACATTATGGATGTCTCCATCCTGAAGCTCTCCCTACATCTCCAAACATAGGTGTCCAGCTGCCTACTGGCAGCTTTTACTCAGTAGTCTCTGAAACACCTCAGATCTTAAAATAGACAAAACAAAGTTCCCAATATCCCCGGTGAAAATTAGTCTGTGACCAATTTTCCCATATCAATTGATGGAACTTTCATCCTTCCCATTGCTTAGATCAAAACCCTAGGGTCATCTCTGAAAGCGCTTCACTTTCTCACTATTATAGAATGTTTATGTCCCACCCGCACCCCCCATTCATATTTTGACACTGTACCTTCCACAACCTGATGGCATTAGGCACTGAAGCCTTTGGGCCAAAATTAGAAAAAGCAGGCCCTCACCAGACACAGAAACTGACCAACCTGATCTTGGACTTCTAGTCTCCAGAACTATGAGAATTAAATTCCTGCTGTTTATAAATCACCCAGTTTATGGTATTTTATTACAGCAGTAGAAGCAGACCAAGCATGCAACTTCCCTTCCACATTAGGAAATCTAGTTGGCCCTTAATAAAAATAGATCCAGAATCCAGCTACCTCTCCTAAGCCCTGAACTGGAATATTACACTGGGCTCCACCTTAGTTTTCCTTCCTCTCTCCTCCTTCTCACAATCTCTTCTCCACAGTGAAGCCAGATGAAGCCTGTTAAAGCCTGGAAAGATCATCTCCTTCCTCTAATCCCAAAGCTCCTGTCACCTCCAGAACAGATAAGCAACTTCTCAGGCAGCCATTTCAGTCCTGAATCCTGTCTTATTGTCTGTTCCCACCTGAAGGAAAAGGAATCTATGGTTTCCATAATGCTCCCAATTTACCTATACCTCTAAGTATTTTTACATGCCAGTATGGAAATAACCTTTCCTCAGCTGTTTCCATCAAGCACACAAAACGGAAATACCTCTATATAATCCCTGGTATGGACCCAGGGCGGGGGGGGGTCTTGGGGTTTCTCTTAGAGTCCCCAGACACTACAGTGCAAAGAACACAGGAGTGGGAGGAGGCAACGTGGGACTGGGACACCCTACACGTACCGGTACGGGTGCCATGAGTGCGTCTGTAGCCATGTTTTAACAGGTAGGTTAAAGATGAATATAATCACGTCAGATTTCAACGGCCTCAGGCTGGCCCGTGACCCAGGTGAATCTATGACTGGGTGCCTAACCTTTGTGCCTCAGTGTTCGATCTTAATAGCTCTGTGTCCTTGAAGTCAACCTTCTAGTGCCTCAATGTCTCCATCACCCTCCTTCAGTCTGCTTCTCCAATCAACAACCTTTGGGAAGCTCTGAAAGCCCTGATGTAATTCATGTCGCTCCTTTCTTTAAAATTCCCCACAGCATTCCAGAATCCCGAGAATGCAGGTAGAACCCTCGGCCTGCTATTCCAGGTGCGACTACGCCTCAAACACTGTTCCTCGCAGGCACACCGGATCCCAGCGTTCCCGAACGCTCCCAGCTGAGTCGCACTCCCAGCCTCTGCACGGGTCTGCTCCTCATCGCAACCACAACAGTAAAATTGAACAGGGAAGCGGAGATGTCATGTTCGCTCAGGGCCACTGTCAGAAACGGGGCCCCACCTACCAGTGCCTCATTGTCCCAGGCAGTAAGGCCTGCGACCTGAGGACGTGAGCAGGCGCCCCTCCGCCGGCGCTGTAGGACCTGGGAGGCGGTGAGGGGCCGAGAACGCAGCGCTTACCTGAGCCAGGTCCCTCAGCGTGGCTGCCGCCATCCGGGCCTGTGGGCGGAGCGCGGGGCCGGGACCGGGCAGGCCGTGGTGCGGGGCGCCCTGGGCGGCCTCGCCGAGCCTCAGACCCGCCTCTGTGCGGCGGGGACGACGGCTCCTCCGACTCCTTCCCCGGCGCGTCACCTCCGCGCAGACCCGCCGCTCCGGAACTTCTGCCCGGATGAATACACGGGAGAAGCCAAAATGACCGCCGGGAGGAGGACGCCGGAAGTCCCGGCCCGCGCTAGGCGTCATACACGGAAGGCCTCTGTGCTAAGCCTTCATTGGTTCGGCGAGGCGGCCGTTAGACGCGAAGCCTGCCGGGTAATGTAGTTCCCACGGACTCCGGTGCCTCGGGCCAGGGCGCGCCCCAGACAACCCGCAGAGTTAAGAGCCGCGAACTTCCCCGGGGAATGGCGTCTGCGAGTCCAAGGGAGTAGGAGGGTCTTTGTCCTCTCCTCAAGGAGCAGGACTCAAGTTTCTGGGGCGTGTTGGGTGTTGCCTGCAGCTGTTCACCCAAGCATTTCAAGAAGTGTTAACTTCGGACTTCGTGAAGTTCAGTTTGCTCCCAGAGGCTACAGATCCAAATGCCCTCATCCGTACGTAGTCTTTCAGACAAAACCAGTGTGTACACTGGTGGCAGAAGCTAACATGTCACGTTGCAATTCAGATCCATACACTATGAAGTGTATGAAGGGTCGTTTTATCGGTCTTCGTTTGATCAGGGACAAGAGAAAAAAACAGGTTGCGTCGTTACAGGAAATATTAGGGATTCTAGGCTACCCTGAAGCAGGAAATCGTGATCTCTGTAATTACTACAGAAAATATCTCCCGTAACTGAAAATTATTGTGTACAATTTAGTGAGCGACATGTTTACCTGTTTTTATCTATTTAATATGTCTTTTTGGATAGCCTAATAGTCATTTTCTTATGGAAATCTGACATCAATCTCAAAAATAGAACCCTTAAGAACCTATTTTGGGGCGCCTGGGTGGCTTAGTCGGTTAAGCGTCCGACTTTCGCTTGGGTCATGATCTCACGATTCGTGGGTTCGAGCCCCGCGTCGGGCTCTGTGCTGACTGCCAGCTCAGAGCCTGGAGCCTGTTTCAGTCTGTGACTCCCTCTCTCTCTGACCCTCCCCTGCTCGCGCCATCTCTCTCTCCTTCTCTCCTAAAAAAAAAAAAAAAAAAAAAATTTTTTTCTAAAAAAAAAAAAAAAAGAACCTATTTTGATAGCTTCAGTGGCTTCCATGTTCTTAGGTGTAGCATGTATGAAAAGGATTCTTTGAACACCAAAATGCAGGGAGCAACTTAAATCCATGATTTCATCTCATTACTGGAAAGTAGTTATCATTTACCCTATGATTACAGTAAATAAATATTTTGCATGAGGAATTGATATTATCTGAGAAAAACTGTTGTAAAATGCAGATTACAGAAAGCTATTAATAGTGGCTATGTAATGATTCAGAATTTGTGTCAGAAATGTCTTAATGGGGGGCGCCTGGGTGGCTTAATCGGTTGAGCGTCCGACTTTCGCTTAGGTCATGATCTCGCGGTTCGTGGGTTCGAGCCCCGCGTCGGGCTCTGTGCTGACTGCCAGCTCAGAGCCTGGAACCTATTTCAGAGTCTGTATCTCCCTCTCTCTCTGACCCTCCCCTGCTCACACTGTCTCTCTCTCAGAAATAAAGAAAAAAGAATTTTAAAAAAATGTCTTAATGGAAATATAAGTGGATGGTAAAAAGTTCTTAGAGAAATTATATCAGTGATGTCTGAGTTACAGTTAAGCTGAACATGTGACTATAACAATCACTGTGAAGACTTTGTCTCCAAAATTTGATTCTTATTCTTGAAACGAAGCTATACTAGCATTCAGGGAAAGCTAACAGGGACACGAGGAACAGGCAGAATTGTAAAAATATAAAGGGAAGCTAAAGTTTCTTATTTATTCACTGTTCTAATAAATAGTCAATTGAGTATTTGGCTTTAAGAACTTATTGTAGATGCATAAGAGGCTTTAGGACACAAAAGGGACAAAAGATTCCTGCTCTCCTGGGGGTAATATTATATACAAGAAGGTCACAGAAACCGTGAAAGAAGAAATACTAAATCATGTGGCATGTTAGAATGTAGTAGGCACAGTGGAAGAAATAAAGTGAATGTGCTTGGAAGTATGGTGTGCATCCTACATAGCGCAGTAAGGGGGGCCTCTCTGATAAGAGGGTCACTGAGTAAAAACTTGAAGGATAATATATGAGGGATAACTATGTGAGTATTTTTGGAATACGCTGTAGGCAGAATACGTAGGTGGGTAGATAGTTTCGGGGGATAAAGCACTCAGAGGGCTCCTAGGCGGTGGAGGACGCCTGCCACGTCGGCCATTAGCCTGAGCTGCTCACGCGGACACACTCGGGGGATGTATGTGAGAAACCTTGGCTCTGCCTCTGGGAGCTTGCAGTTCTTCGTGTGGATGGACTCCAAGGCCTGGAATGAGGCAGCCTCATTTTTCATAGAACCCTGGTTTTCAAGTTCAACTCCTAGACCTTCACCATCAGTGTCACCTGGTGACTTGTTAGAAATGCTCATTCTCGGGTCTCCTGCGGGGGTGGGGGGGGGGCTCAGTTGGTTAAGCGTCTGACTCTTGGTTTTGGCTCTGGTCATAATCTCCTGGTTCATGGGTCTGAGCCCTGCATCAGGGTCTGCACTGACAGCACAGAGGCTTCTTGGGATTCTCTCTCTCTCCCTCTCCCCTCACCTCCCCTGCTTGCTCACTCTCTCCCAAAATAAATAAACAATTTTTAAAATGCTGATTCTCATTTCAGAAACTAACCAGAGATTCTGTGAATCAGGACCTAGAATCTGTGTTTTAACTGTTTTCTAGGTGGTTCTGATACATGTTTGATAACATTCCATGGTTCTGTTGTAAATGTTCTGGACCAGGTCACAGTGTTTCTGACAGTAATCGGAGGGTCCTCTCTAAATGTGCAGGATTTTTGAAGAGGAGGAGGAGGGAGAGGTAGGAAGAGGGAGAAGAAGATATCAGGACAAGTTACTTGCCCTAATACAAAACATTATATACAATTATAAGATAGAATGTGAAAAGTCTATGACAGTTCTCCCTCCTGGAGAAGAACATCTGCAGTAGAGCATTATCTTTTCAGAACTGTATCTGCACGTGTGTGCATCACTAAGTGTTCAAATGTATTCTTTTATAAATTGGTTTTCTCTGGGGCGCCTGGGTGGCTTAGTCGGTTACGCGTCCGACTTTCGCTTAGGTCATGATCTCGCGGTTCGTGGGTTCGAGCCCCGCGTCGGGCTCTGTGCTGACAGCCAGCTCAGAGCCTGGAGCCTAATTCAGAATCTGTAACTCCCTCTCTCTCTGACCCTCCACTGCTCACGCTGTCTCTCTCTCTCTCTCCTAGAAATAAAAAAATATTTTAAAAAATTTTTTTAAAAATTGGTTTTCTCAGTAAAAATTAAGTCCATGTTTTGACTTTCTCATGTAATACCTCTTGGACAACCTAAAGCTACTTTCTCATTTTACACCCAGTACCTACTGATACTTCCTTCTCTTGAGACCTTGTAGACCTAAAGCTGCCTTTTGGTTGTTTTTTGTTTTTTTTTTTAATGTTTATTTATTTACTTTGAGAGAGAGGGAGGGAGGAGGGGCAGAGAGAGAGGGGGACAGAGAATCGCAAGCAGGCTCTGCAGCTGTCAATGCAGAGCCTGACACGGGGCTCGAACCCACAAACCATGAAATCATGACCAGAGCAGAAACCAAGAGTCAGATGCCTAATCGACTGAGCCATCCAGGTGCCCCTAAAGTTGCCCTCTTTTAATCTTTTTATAAAATTTTTAAAATGTTTATTTATTTTTAGAGAGAGAGAGACAGAGTATGAATGGGGGAAGGGCAGAGAGAGAGAGAGGGAGACAGAATCTGAAGCAGGCTCCAGGCTCGGAGCTGTCAGCACAGAGCTGTCAGCACTCCCGAACCGTGAGATGATGACCTCAGCCAAAGTTGGATACCTAACTGCCTGAGTCCCCCGTGCATCCTTAAAGCTGCCTTCTTTTAAAGACTGTTTTGTATTTGGTGCACTGCATGTACTAAACCCAGCCAGCTGCTGTGAGGAACTAGGGCCTGTGGCTATGTGTCACCTCTGTCCCTGCAGGACCCCTTCTCCAAGGCCAAAGAAAATTCCTCCAAGGTGAGTAGAGTCCTCCAAGTGCTGGCCAAGCCTCTCTGCAGCTCCCCATGGGAAGAAAAAACAGACCAAGCAATGACAGCACTAAGGCCTAGAGGCTGGCAACCATGTCCCAGGGCTCAAATTCACCTGAGATTCCTGATGGACAGTCCGTGAGTGCCGGAGACCGAAACTGCGCAGGTCATCCCTGATGGCAAGGCCCAGGGAAAAACCGGTGGGAAGAGACTGCAAGGCAGTCAGAAGAACCCCCTGAAGAATTCTTCTTCTCTACTTAGTCTGTACCTTTTACTCTCACTTCTGCTGTTAGTCTATTCTAGGGTTAATATGAAACCAGAATCGCCCAAAGTTCCCCCTTCCTCCAAAATGGAATGCACCTAAATATCATGTCCGCCCCCTCAATCAGATGTTGTCTAATGAATATTGTAGCAATTAGCAAAATTGGAGACAGTCCGGTATGCGTTGGGTCTATAAGAGACCTAGAATTCATTTTCCTTGTATGAGTCTAATTGCCAGTAAGAATACATATTATGCCATGAGCAGAGACAAAAACAAGACTTACTAGTTTTGGAGGGCTTTCTCGAAAAAGTGTGAGAGAAATATTTGCCCGCTGACCTCGAGCCTGTAAGGCAACTTATGGATTGTTCTGGCCAAAGAATGAGATTGGTAAATGCAGAGACCAGATTCTAGTTGATCCATGTAAAACATTTCCATACGTCATCTATGATAAATGTTGACATTGTTCTTTCTTAGTAATGGGTTGTGAGGGTCTGTTACCTACAACCGCGGGTACAAGTATATCCTGTGTTTGCACGCCCACTGACCTTAAACAACTAAAGGGCACTGTGATCTCACATATTCTGGCAATATGCTTCACTTATCCTTAGATACCCGGCCACACGTAGTAAAGAGTATGTAGAACTTTGTCATGACTACCTGGTTAAATTTTATTGGTTGACGTGGAAATCATGTACCGTGAAATCACTGTTGCCAA